TTTGGCTCCTTAAAAAAAAAAAAAAGAAAGAAAGAAAAGAAAAGAAAAGGCTGTGGTTTGAATCCACCAGCTCTTCTGTGGAAGAAAGAAGAAGCAGGCTGCTTCTGTAAAGATTTACAGCCTTGGAGACTAAATGGGCGATGAGTCAGAATCAACTTGATGGCAGTGAGTTTTGTTTTGGTTTTTGGGTTAGATGTACCTTAGTCTTCAAAGTGACATTTTTGGTCCTTAACACTTTGAAGATGTCTTTTGCAGCAGATTCATCTAGTGCAATACGGTGTCTGGTTTCTTGACTGCTGCATCCATGGGTGTTGATTGTGGATCCATATGAAATCTTTGACAGCTTAAATCTTTTCTCCACTTATCATGATGTTGCTTATTGATCCAGTTGTGAGGATATTTGTTTTGTGTTGAGATGTGATTCATACTGAAGACTATAGTCTTTGATCTTCATCAGTAAATGCTTCAAGTCTTCATTTTCAGCAAGCAAGGTTGTGCATATCACTGGTTGTTAATGAGTCTTCCTCTAAACCTGTTCTTGTTCTTCTTGTTCATATGGTCCAGTTTCTCTGATTATTTGCTCAGCATACAGTTAGAAAAAGTATGGGGAAAGTATACACACCTAACACACACCATTCCTGATTTGAAATCATGCAGTATCTCCTTGTTTTTTTCAGATGACTGCTTCTTGGTCTATGTACTGGTTCTCCATAAACACAGTTAAGTGTTCTGGAATTCTCATTCTTGGCAATGTTGTCCATAATTTGTTATGATTTGCCCAGTTATATTATGTATGTAGTCAATAAAGCACAGGTAAACACTTTTCTGTTATTATCTGATTTCAGCCAAGATCCATCTGACATCAGCAATGATATTCCTCGTTCTATGTCTTCTTCTAAATCCAAATTGAATTTCTGGCAGTTCCCTGTCATTATACTGGCTGCAACCTTTTTTTAAATTATCTTCAGCAAAAAATGTGCATGATGTGATATTAACGATATGTTTCAATAATTTCCACATTCTGTTGAAACATCTTTCTTTGCAATAGTCAGAATTATGGATCTTTTCTAGTGAGTAGGTCAGGTAGCTAGCTGTCTTCCAGATTTCTTGGCATAAACAAGTAACTTCCTCCAGCACATCACTCTTTGTTTGAAACATTTCAATGGGTATTTCATCAGTTCCTGGAGCTTTGTTTTCTGCCCATTTCTTCAGTGCAGTTTAGACTTCTTCCTTCAGTACCTTTGGTTCACGTTCATATGCTGCTTCCTGAAGTGGTTGAATATGGAACTGTTCTTTTTTGTACAACTTCAGACTGCAGATATTGGTTAACATTTTCAGTTTCTTCATCTTTGGGTTTAGTGGTTAATGTGTAAATTTGAATAATAGTATTAACTGGTGTTCCTTGTAGGCATATAGATATAATCCTATCTCTGACAGCATTGTACTTCAGGATAGACTTTGAAATGTTCTTTCTGATGAAAGTGACACCATTTCCTCTTCACTCTTTCATTTCATTCCTGGCATAGATGGCTATATGATTGGGTGATTCAAAATGGCCAATACCAGTCCATTTTAGCTCACTAATGCCTAGGATATTGGTCTTCATGCATTCCACTTTATTTTTGACAATCCCCAATTTTCCTAGATTCATACTTTATACATTCCACATTACAATTATTAATGGATGTTTGTAGCTGTTTCTTCTCATTTTGAGTCATGCCCCATCAGCAAATGAAGGTTCCAAATGCTTTACTCCATCCATGTCATTAAGGTTGACTCTATTCTGAGGAGGTAGCTTTTCCTCAGTCGTATTTTGAGTGCCTTCCAACCTGAGGGGCTCAACTTCAGGCACAATGTCAGACAGTGTTTCATTGCCATTGAAACAGTTTTCTAGTAATACATCAGAAAGTTTTTCACTATTATTAATAAGATTTTGAGTGGCCATTTTTTTCAGAAGTGGATGGTCTTATCCTTCTTCCCAGTCTGTCTTAGTCTGGAAGCCCTGCTGAAACTTATCTACCATATAAAATACATATAATACATCACTCCACACTTTGTAGTCAAGAGAGCAATAGCCACCGGTGTATTACTTTGATATAAGTGTTAGTAGAAGACCACGGGTGACCCTTGTCTTCTTTGAAATACTGATGGCATATCTTATAGACATAGCAGAATTCAAGCCACCACAGTATGACAAACTGACAGAAGAGTGGTTGTCTTTTTTATTGGCCTTCAACATTACCAACTATGATGTCCTTCTCTAACAACTAGTCTTTCCTGATGATGTTTCAGAATGAGTGATTTAGAGTCTTATTGTCTACACTTCTAAGGCACATTGGTTATATTTCTTCTAAGATAATTGTTCATTCTTCTCTCAGTCCTAGTACATTTAGTATTTATTAACACCACAGTTTAAACACATCCCTTCATCTTCTGTCTTCCATTTTTGTTATCAAATTTTCACATGTATATAAGATGATTTAAAAGAACATATGTCTTCTGTGAGACTCTCCTTTGTCATCAAAGTGTCATCTTTTATTTTAAAACTTTAAAGAGATTTCTGGAACAATATTTGCCCAAAGAAATAGGACCCTTGATTTCTTGACCGATGCTTCCACTAATTCTGGTTGTTGATTCAAGTAGAATGAGTGTTGAGAATTTTATTTTTTTTCTCCATTTATAATATCTTTGAGTTAGGGCTCATAACAGTATCATCTTATGAATGACAAAATTGAGGCTTAGATAGATTAAAAATCTAAACAAAATATAAAAACCTAGTATGTGATGGAAAGGCATTCAAACTCAGAGATTCTTTTTCAGTGTCTATACTCTTAATCATTATGTAAGAATGTGCTACATATCTTAATTGATTCACAT